ATCTCCTTTGGCCAGTCCACCCCAAGGTCATACTGCTGACAGTTTCGATAGTAATTATTGATACCCAACAGAAATTCTAGGGGGTTCTCTTAGTCGAGAGGTCACGGTGTCTGACTCTCTTTCAATAGGTTCCGGGTTCGAATCAGGATAGCGACGGAAAATTTTCAGCTCTAAAATGTTCTCCTTTCACCTTCTTTCCTGCTCTCTAACAATGTTCCGTCGTCTGCTTTTGTCTCCACTTTCTGCCCCCACCACCTCACCTTTGCCACTTCGTCTGGGCTTCTGATGTCTTTCTGCCGCCTTTCTAGTAAACTACTACACGAACACCTAGCATTCTCGGATAAGGGCGAAACATATCTGAGGTCTTGTGTGCAAGTTGGGAACATTTATGATTCCTTGGGGGTCCAAAATCAGTAAGAGTAGTCCTCGGCCGCCACCCCGGAAAATTCAAAATTTCCTACCAACTGAAAATGTTTAATGTGTCCCGCGTGCCTCATATGACTTTATGAAGTTGCGAGTGCCGCAAAACACTTAGTCCCCCCCCTAAAAAAGAAGCAATTCCAACAACTGACAGGTTATACTGGCGTCTGTAGTGTTAAAGTTAGGCTCTTCATCGTCGCACGTGAAAGGCCCGAGTTTGAGTTCCCACTTGGAAGATTTTTTTTCGAGTATTTCGTTGTTTTTTTCTACTGGGACATTGTATTCCTCTCAGCTCGGGTTGGTCCTTACAGGCAGAATCGAACCTCGTCTCTTAAATTATCTAAACTGTGTCGATGGGGGCGTAAAACGCCTATATTAAAATCAAATTTCTAGGGTAGGGGAAAACGGGGAAAAGAACAAGAAGAGTCGGAATACCATCATCTTGAGCGACTTCGTGAGCTTGGAATTGGATGGGGCGCCTGCAGAAGTTCAAGACTTAGTGGGAGGAGCAGAGGACTATGGAATCAACCATTGCTTGGAACCGTCAGCATCTTCGAGATGTGCTTTTTCAGGGGACGGAGCGCTTATGTGGATGCCCATTGTGCAGTGGTATCGGTCCTTCACACAAGTAACAAGTAACAAGTTCTTGGGGAGAACTGCTTGCTTATCTGCTAACATGCTGAAATGCCATGTTGCTGATCCTGGTTCGAAACGTAACGAGATATTCTTGAACAGAGGTCGTTTTAGGTGTTTGTATGGCTTTCGAGTGACTTGACTTGATCCTGTTGTTTGGAGGGATGTTTGAATCGGAGGTCCTGCCTCTCAAATAACTTTTCTGAGTTGGAAAGAACATGAACCCTATGACATCACCTAAAGGGCTACTAAGCGGTCAACGCCAAGAATAATGAGAACCGTTACCTTCGCACGCCTAAGGTTTGAGATCGATTCCCGAGCGAGGAGCTTTTTTTAAATCGAGGATCTCGGTCTTTCAAATGGAACGTTTTATCCCTCTCAGTCCGGGTTGACCCTGACACAGAATTGAAGCTTTCCTCCAAAATGATCTTAAGTTTGTCAGTGGGGACATAAAACTCTTATATTCAGAAAAAAAAGAAAGAATACGAATCTTCCTATCTGGAGAGAGTCTCGAGGTCCATCTTTAAAAATATTCTCTTGAAGCCTTGTCCCAAAATAGGATCAGTTATTCCGTTTCCAGAATGATCTTTTGGAATCTGGGCTCAGTTGGTATCATGCTTAATAATTGAGCAGATGGCCGTGGTTCAAATCCCAGAATGGGCATTCTTGAACGCGGGTAGATTTTTCCAAGCTCTCAACCCGTTTGGTTTGGTCCTGTCAGAAAAGAAGTTTAATTCGGTGGCTCCACCTTTTAAATAACCAAATAGTGTTTATAAACCTATTAGTGCGTATAGGGGCGTCAAACCCG